AATATAGCTAAACCTAAATTGATGTTAAACTAATAAATCCAAAAAAATGTTTCAGAAAAACTCTTGCCATTGCCATTTTGTACAGTGGAACTCCTGTATAACGAACTCCTCTATAACGAAACTCCTGTATAACAAACAAATTTTAAATCCCCGTCTACCACTACACAGTGCATTAAAAACTGCTCTATAACGAAACTCCTCTACAACGAACAAATTAAAAGTCTCCGAGCGATTCGTTATAGAGGAGTTCCACTGTATTTGATAGCGTACAGAAAATTACAAATCTTTGTCTTAGTCTTGGTCATAGTTTCAGCCTTGTCTTAGTATTAGCCTTATAAATAAAAAAAAACTAAATGTTTTAAAAAAACTTTTAAAATTTTTAAAAACCACCACTTTTGTTCTAAAAAAAAGACAAATTTACAGTTTTTTCCTACCCAAAAAGTCTCTTATATACCATCACAAAATGACCACAAAGTACACCCATCTACTGTATAACAATGTTAGATTGTAAAAAAGCCGACGACGTGACTGTTGTCGCTGGAACGGAACAAAGTGCTTCGCTTGACCTTTGACGAAATTTTTTTTCCAGCGTCTTCAAAAAGTCATTGATAGGTGTAAAAGGCGACCAGAACCTATTACCTTCTGGGGAGAGAGCAAAGAGAGGAAAAGATTCGATTTTGCAAGCATAAACATAAATAACCAGAAAAAATGATCTAAAGTAGTTTAAAATTTAAAAAATATTTTTTTTTGTAAAAAAAAATAAAAAAAATAGTCTAGCTTTGATTTTTAGATTAGTAAAGCAAGGGCAAGGTAAACATATAGCAAAAGAAGGATTAGGCAAGATCAAATCAAGAGTAAAGCAAAGATAGATCAAAAGCAAGACAATGGTAATTCAAGGGTAAGACAAAGATAACACAAGGGTAAAATAAAGAAAAGAAAAGTGTGAGGCAAAGGTAGAACAAGCATAATAAAAGAATAAAGGAAAGATAAGACCATAATAAGGCAAGACTAGGGCAAGAAGACAAGGATAGTGCAAGGGTAGAGCAAGAGTAGAGCAAAGTAAGGCAAGGGTAAGGCAGGAGTAAAGCAAATAGAGGGCAAGACTAAGGCAGGAGTAAGTCAAGGATTGGGCTAACATAAGACAAATGTAAAGCAAAAGTAGAAAATATTAATGCAAGGATAAAGCAAAAACAAGTTAAATGTGAGGCAAGGATGGGACAGGAGTACCGTAAGAGTAAGACAAGAATAGGGCAAAGGTAAATTAAAGTTAGGGTAAGAGTAAGGCGAGAATAAGGAAAAGGAGGGAAAAGTGTAGGACATGGGTAAACGAAGGGTAAGGCAAAAGTAAAACAAAAATAAAGCAAAGACAAGGTAAAGGTACGACAATAGTTGGCTAAGGGTGACTTAAGTGCAGGATAAGACAAGAGCAGCGCGGGGAAAAGCAAGAGTAGCGCAAGTGTAGAGCAATTGTAGAGTAAGAGCAGAACAAGAATAAAGTATATGTGAAGCGAGAGTAAGGCAAGAATTATGCTAAGGCAAGTCAAAGTTAAGGGAAAAGTAGAGCGAGGGTAAAGAAACAATAGAACAATGTCAGGGCAAGGGTAAGGCCGGGTATGACAAAATGTGCTAGTTTTACATGTTTGACATCTAAATACAGACAGACGGCAGACTACGAAGACTTAACTTTTATGATTATACAATTAAAAAAACACGGAGAATAAGCTAAAATAAAAAATTTTAAATAATTCAACCGCAACATTGAGAAAACGACCGGTAAAGTTTTGTAACACAAAACGTGGCGCACCCTGTATATCTGTAATGGCTTTAAACTACTGTTTATTTTAAGACTAAGCTTTAAAATACAATAATAGTGTGTAAATATTTAGGTACATTTCAAAACTTCACTATTTCAGTAAAACATCAAAAACCGGCAAAATACTATTTATTTTTACATTGAAAACACAAAACATAATTATAATTATACAAAGCCTTCCCTAAGAAGTTGGCTTTTCAAAGTTACAGTACACGAACCCTAAACCCAAAGTGTAAACCATATGAATCTCCGCAAGAATGTTTGCAATCGACAAGGAAAGTAGTAAAGTCGTCGAAAATTGATGAGTCGAAAGTCTCCGCCGATACGTTTCTATCGTATTTCTTTGTGGTAAATAACAAATTTGACGATGATATTGACTGTCTTGTGTGAAATTTCATAAACTAAAAAATAAAAAGTTTAGACTAGAAATGTGGTTTAAGGAACACTTTTTTTAAACATGTGATCGATAATGTGTAGTTTTAGGAAGTGACGTGATGACTTATATTATAAAACACATCCCTAGCGTTAACCTTAGCGTTAGATATAACTTTAGTCATAGTCTTAGCTTGAACTTGAGCCTGAGCTTAGGCTTGATCTTGAGCCAGAGCCAGTAGACATGAGGAACGGGCCGGGCCCACATTTCAAGCCCGGCCTAATCTGAGTTTTCCTCAAGGCCGGCTCGGCCCGGCCCGAATTTTTTTACGTGGAAACGGGCGGAACTTCCAGGACCCGTTCCCTATGTTTAAGAGCCAGAGCCAAAGTCTAAGTCTAAGCCTGAGCTTGGATCCGTGCCTAAGCCTGAGGATGTGCCTGGTCCTGAGTCAGAGCCTGAGCTGAGTCTGAGCCTCAGGATGTGCCTGAGCCTGAGGTTGAGCCTGAGGCAGAGCCTGAGCCGAGTCTGAGCCTAAGCCGAGTCTGAACCCGAGGATGTGCCTGAGCCTGAGCTTGAGCCAGCGCCAGCCAGCTTATCTTCCATTTTTGTCTAAATATTAACTTTTTGGTCCTCACTTCCACAGTCATCAAAATATGTGTCTTATCCAGCAACGTATGCAGCGATTCTACTACTTTTTGCAATTTTGTTTACAATACTTATAGTAACGGTTATAAAGTTGCAACACGAAATTGTAAACTTATCACATCACTGATTAAATTTACAAATTAACAGCATCTGATTCCCAAGGTTTTTATAAAGTAATTGACAAAGTAAAGTGTCCTTGATGAGAGTTTAATTGATATCACTACTAATGGCAGTGACACATTACCGGTCATTCGGCTGCAGTTTTAAAACTTTTTAATTTGGATGCAAGACATATGATTACATGGTTTGTACGTATAACCATAGTATTTGTAGTTTGTTTCAAGCATTAAAACGAAATTTTAATTTTTATGACTTAAGGCTGTTTAAACTTAACATACTATACCTACAGTAAAAAATACGTTACATAATGTACAACATACTATCCCTACCGTTTAAAAAACTATGCCTAATGTACAACATTGTATCCCTACTATACCATAGTACCATAACTATGGTAAACTTATTTGTTGTTAAAAGTACAAAATGTTGTTGAAATAGACAGTATTTTTACAACTTATATTAAAACGCATTGTAATGTCATTATTATATTATGAAATAACAAGTCATGCTGTTGAACTATATTTTCATCGTTGTAACATTAAGATAGGCATGTATATACTTCTCTCAGACATTATTTGTATGTAGTGAAGATAATAAAAGATTGGTAGGCCAAACTACTTCCTGATTATTAATGTAAATACGACAAAATAAAGGTGCTGGCATAGCTAGAATAGAATTAAAGTAATGCTTGAGCAACATAAATTTAAGCTAGAGCTAGGCCTAAGACTAAAGTTTAAGATAGCGGCAGAGCTAGAGCTAAAGCTAGGTCTAGACCGTTGAACTATGTTTCCGGGCTAGATCTCTGAGATATAGCTCTAGACGACGGTTTTGGGCTCTAAGCTAAGGCTCTGGGCTAGAGCTCTGGGCTAAGGCTCTGGGCTAGAGCTCTGGGCTAGGGCTTTGGGCTAGGGTTCTGGGCTACGGTTTTAGGCTAGGGCTCTGGGCTAGGGTTCTGGGCTAGGGCTCTGGGCTACGGCTTTAGGCTAGGGCTCTGGGCTAGAGCTAAAAAACGTTGCACTTTAGTTGTTTTTGCATTTTTAGTGCAATATTTGATCAAGACGTCAAACAGATCAAAGAGTTTGCTTCTAGAGGTTATGTAAACAATTTGAGTACACTATAAAGTAGAACAGCTATATTATTAAACTTATAATAATTATGAGAACCTTAAAAACGCCCCATATTTCTGCCGTTTGTCATTACCTATTTCGCTAGCCTAAAGTCCAAAATCACAAACCCAGACTTTACTAAAGACACGTGAACAACATCTACCAAAATGCACGTTACACCTGTCTAGGTCACATCTACCGTAATCAATCAAAACATGACAAACAAAAACGACATAGACGTTGAAGAAGCGCCAAGAGTGACCATCATGATGCAACGTTCCTGCTGTGTTGCATCACGTTCGAACTGGTCGTGCCAGGCGTGAAAAATACGATGTAAAGTTACACGTTTTGTTACAATTTTTGATTAGAAGAGTTTAAAATAGAAACTTGGAGTGACAAATTGCGAGCCCTAGCCCCTAAGGCCTAGCCCCCAAGCTCTAACTCCCAAGCCCTAGCCAAAAAGCCCCCAGGCCTAGCAATAAAAAGTTTTTTTTCGGGCCCGGGCTTACTTTTCGCGCCCAGCCCGTTTCTTATTTTGCTCCAGCCAAGCCCGTTCTCTATGTCTAATCCCGAAGGCTAAAGCCCAAACCAATTTTCTGGTACCGCAACGAAAGATTTGACTTGAAAAAAGTGTAAAACGAATCTGATGTTAAAACTGTTTACATGAAGTTATAAAGCCGAGCCCAATCATATTTTAAAGAAAGTGGGCCTAGCCGGCAAATGTGAGACTAAAGGGCCGGGGTCAGTAATAAAGCATTCGATACAGCCTCTTTACAGGTCGATTTGCGCAAAAATTTTTTAAAAATGCAAAAAAGAAAAACATTTTTAAATAAAAAAACAACTTACTCAGCTACAAAATACTTTATTCCCCTGAATATCTCGAATATCTTACACTCTACTGTATATTACACTAACGTCAAACTAATACATGTTGTGGTTGAGATCACGTGACTTTGAGCAATTTTGGAGTTTGGCCGAGGTTGTGGCGACTAAAGGCGATTCGTTTGGTTTCACAAAAGTCGATCGTCGAATCCGGATCGGCGATGCTTCGATGGCTACGAGCGGGCGGTGGTCGGATGGGGCGCGGCCTTAGCGCTGCGTTCCGGTCGATTTGTCGGCCACGCTGGTCGGTTTGACGGTCGTTTTGATTTGATTGTTGTTGTTCTTGACCCACATCCGCCGGCTTTATCACTTTGGTCGGGCATTTGGGTTTTGTGGTTGGTGGAGGAGGGAAGTGGCTCTCGGCGGGGACAGCCAGCTCAGGATGGTCGAAAAAGTTGGCCAGACGACGGAATTGAGTCATGAACAGGTCGAGGATGTATTGGACGACCATTGGCACTATTCTGATCTGAAAAACAATAAATTTTTAAAAAATTTGATTTTTTTCAAAAAAAATTTTCTAAGACATTGCAATGTCATTTTTAAATCACCATAACTTTATGTAAGTTACTTCCATCATTTTAAAATTTTCTGAAAAGATCCCTCTTTTTATGCTTTACAATACGTATATCACCAAATTCAAAAAACTTAATGCCAAAGTATTACTGCATCTTTTAAGTCCACTTAAACCCCTTTTTACCCTTTGATCCTCTAAAACCCCCTAAACCTACCGTAAAAAACACCACGTAGTAAATCATGATAGTAGGTAACAAAAACACAGTCCCAATGAACAGTGTAGTGACCATAAAGGTCTGCCGGTCATCCAAATGCAGTGAATCGACTCGATTCCTCAATGGATTCCATTTTTTCCCTCTGAACGCTCTCCAAAACGTGGTCAGACCGGTGAAGAAGACTTGTGCCAATCTTGATGTATACACATTGAAACACATCAAATGCATCGTAGCTACTGAGATTAGATCGTGAAGAGCTGCTACAAGAACGGTTGAACCTGTGGCAGCAGCTACGTAGAGAATTGGAAGCAAACTGGCCGCGTACATATGGGTAATAAAGTCTGAAATTTAAAAGTTGAAAATTTTTTAAAATTTTTTGAAAAATCTGTAAAAAATTTTGAATGTCCATATAAAAGTGTAGCTATTCTAAAAATTTCGTATAAATCTGTGCATTTACAAAAAAGTTATGCTAATTTAAAAATACCGAAAATCCAAAAAAAAATTTTCACCTTCAACTGAACATAACTTTGGTTATAGACAATATATCTTTCCAAAAATTTAACGAAGGGTAATATTGTTCATGCTCTAAAATTCGTACTTAAAGAATATTAAAAAAATGTCTAATTCGTTTTTAAAAAATCCTCAAAAAATTAGAAAAATAAAGACAATAGAGACATGGGTACAGTAAAACTACTGTAACTTCCCGAACTTTCAAAATTTTTAAAAATTCTCAATTAGGCTAAATGACCAAAAGACTGCTCTAAAATCACAACAATTACCAAACCTCTATCTGTTACCTATAAAAAGTAACGATAAAAAATGCCAAAAAACCCAACATTTCGGCCAGAAATCGACCGAAATTCCAAAAACCTACATTTCCACAAATGCACGTGATACCTGAAGAACGATGCCAAAAGAACGTTGACTTGACTGTTGAGTTTCAGTCCAGCTGGATTATTCAGCAGCCAGTCGAAGACGTGGTGAAGATTGTCGATATTGCCCATTACCCATGGATACGTGAACTCGCATATCCCTGACGCCACTAATATGTACATGAAAAGAATGCCGGCGAATGTGTCCAGCACTGTGTATTGTAATCTAAAATTGCAGGTTTTAGTTCTTGTAGATATAAATTTTAAAAAAACTTGAAAAAATCATAATTTTTTGATATTGACATAAGTAACATCTAAAACAATATACCTTTCATATAATTTTCAAAAACATAATAAAAAGCTCACTTTGTTTTGTTATCCCATTTAAATTTAAGTTCATTGTAGACTTTTGAATAACTCAGAACCTTCTTTACATCTTCCTGCCACCGTTCCCGTCTGCTCGACATTACTCATCCAGACCTTCCAACTCTGAAAAGAAAACTTGTCATTTTCAAATAAAAACCAACAAAAACGTATGTACATACACAAATATAAACATACTATTAAGTGCCGACATAAAGAACCCGCCATTTTTCACAGGAGAAGTATGGCGGATTCTTTATGTCGGCACATAATATAACATAGTAAATGTCATAATACAAAACGTAGGCGTCCTCAAAAAATATTATGTGTATCCCAAAAAAAATTCGAAAAGAATAAAGAGAGAAAAATTGCTGGCCACAAACGTCTTGGCCAGAACAGCCCTCACGTATAAAACAATCAAGTTTCAAACATAAAATTGTCCCTCCCAAAAAGTATCATGATGGAGCTACAAAAAAGCAGACGTTTGGCCAAAGTTTAGTTCTAGTGATAAGAAGAAGACAGTATTTCTTGACTTTTTGCAAAAATTCTAGAGAAAACATCTTTGACCTTATGAGAAATCCAAAGCATAATATTAACCATCTTATTTGGCTGTAACTTTTTTCATAAACTAGATAAAAATCTAAAACTTGTAATGAATGGTAGATCACTAACATTGTCAACTAACACAGTAAATCAAAATTTTAAATTCATTAAAACTTTAAAGTTACAACAAGTTTACGTTACCCATATTCTCAAAATTTTGTATTACGTCGTACTATAACATAATTTTCCCAATTGAATAAGACTTTAGAAAAAATTTGATTAAAACGTTTTATAGACCATAAACAATTGCATGTTTTCCAAAAATATTGTAGAGATATGTCATTTAGTAAAAAAGCTACAGCTAGTTGAATAAGAGACAAACCGCAAATTTTTAAGAAAATTCAACTTTTCATGCTTTTCGAGGCTTTCACCTAAGCATAACGGCTTTAAATCATGAGGTATACATAGAACTTTCTAGATATTAACAGTTTTTATTCTTTACAAGCTTTTTTTAAAATGTTTACTAAAAATTATTTAAAATTTTGGAAAACAACAAAGCGCAGTAAACTCAATACACTTTTGAAACCTCATTGAATTTTGAAACGCTTTTTCTTTTATTAGTTGAAAAAATGTATAATATACAATCAAAAAAAATTTCAAGCCTCTAGCTATATTTTCAAAAAAGCTACATTGAAAACAAGACAGTCCTCCCAACTTTTCTGCTCTATCATAACATAAAGCAAGAATCTTACCTTCAATCCTTTCAAAACCAACTAAATACACTCTAAAATACACGTAAACACCTACACAATATAAAAATTAACATAAAGAGCTCTTTAGAAGCAGTAAAAATAACTTTCCACTGACAAATAGACATAAAACCTTCGAAAAATGCCCAAAAATTACCCAAAATCCACAGTGAAAAATGCCGATTTTCGTTTCAAACTTGGCAAAATAGACGAAACGGCCGGAAGACTGCTCATGCGTTGTAAACAACCACTTACCACAGTCCGTACATTTCGTATTGTTCATCAAACAAAACATTTTTCCGAAAAAAAGAATATTATTTTCGCGCGACTCGCGCTACGGAGTTGAAGAGGCGCGCAGGCTGCAGGGGAAAGAACGTGCGAACGGGCGGGGTTTTTTTGGTTTTTTATTTGAAATGTTGGAAAAATATACGAATGTGAAGTAAGATAAGTAGAAAATGCAGGTATTGTTGAAATTTTTTTGTTCATGTTGTTTTACAACAAAAAATTTGAAAAATAGTCGAATTCAAGGTGAATTTTAATCTTAAAGTAGTTGAATTCAAGTTTCATGAGTCAGTTTAGTCGCGCTGTTTGTGAGTCATCCTTTTGTTCAATTTTAATTTAAAAAACACCCAAAAACTTTAAAAAGTTTGGAAAAGAAATATGTTTTATTTTTTTTTAATTGCCATAACTAAAAGGTTTATTACCTTAAGGCATGAACAATATTACAAATTGTGAAACCAATGATTGGACTCCTCATTTATGAAATTTTAATTAAATTTGTGTCATATTAATACGTACATCTTGTAACAAGAATACTTTGAACCAAAAATTGTTCAGATAACACTCAAAACCACGTGTTTCTTTATTGTAAACAAAGTTCTTTCTACTCTTTACAACACGCTGTTTGAAGATAGATAAGATTGATGGTAGGCTTTGCATAGGTATGGAGTATAAAAGTCAATAAACACTGATAATCAGTAAATAACGGAAAACGTGTTTACAACGTTTGATAACATAATATATTAGGTTGTTCACATAATTTTGTGCCTATTGAATTAACTTTTATTTTAAAAGATTGAAAAAAGAGTACGATACTGATAAGTAGTAAGATCTAGTACAATATCATGGGTTTGACGTTCTGGTAGGTTATGTTATAGTATTAGTAAGTTATGCTATACTATTAGGTTGTTCAAATAATTCTGAGCCATTTGCTGTAAAAATTTTCTTTGAGAGAGGGCTCAGAATTACTTGAACAACCTACTATTATATATATATGTCTTGTAGAATGTAATATGTTATAATAAAAACGATTATGAGCTTAACATCTTAAATTTTAAAAAATTTGCTTTTAGGACGAGTTTTGTTGTTTTATTGGCAGCCGGCTTGTACATAGGTATCAACAAGATCCATTTTGAACACAATGTTGTAAAGTAAGTTTTCTTCAAATATTTTTTGAAAAAAGATAGTTTAAAGGCTAGGGTAATGGCGGTAATAGCAAGAATAGATAACCATAACAGAGACCAGTACATGATAAGAGTTTTGAGCATAACAGCAACAGAAATATAGGATTGTCTAAAGCAAGAACTATTATATTTCAGATTAACCTCAACAAGAGAATTGACCGGTAAATTAGCTCAAACTTCCCAAAACACTATAAAATCTATTGACAAGGTAGCTGAAGGCCAAATTTTTGGTCCAGAATGCTTGGTGATACACAAAAATGCGATTTATTCAGCAAACTTGGATGGATCAATTGCCAAGATTGTCGATGGAAAAGTAGTGAAAAAGCTAGAACTTTTCAAAAATAATCCGGCTTGCAGTAAGTTTGGGTTGGGAAGGAGTAGTGATGGGGTGTGAAGAAGATGTGGGTAGAGACAGATTTAATCTAGAATAGAGCATCTCTAACACATGCTAAAATCAACTTAGGGTAGATCATGAGCAGTGATGGGGTGTACAAAAAGCCTAGATAAGGCTTGTGCAAGACATGATACGACTTGGAAAGGACGGCATAGGTAGTGATAGTGTACGGAGAAGGCCTGGGCAAGGTAAAGCTAAGGTTAACCAAGGGTAGGGCAGGGTCAGATATAGTGTAAGACATAGGTGAGGCTTGGAGAAGCTAAGGCTTGGGTAGGGTCAAAGTAAGGTTAAGTTAAGAGATAGCATAGGCTAGAGGAACTCTAAGAGTAAGGTAGGGCTACTAAAGGTAGAACTATAATAAAAGTAAAGCCCTAAAGAAAGGATAGGGATAGTGTAAACGTCATGTTACAAACAAGGTATGGATATATTGGGATAGAAATAGAATAAAACAACGACAGGACAAGGATAAGATTCGTAAAACTTAAAAAAATCTAATTTTAGGACAACACAAGTGCTCCCAACCTCTCGGAATTCGCTATTGGAAAGAAGAAAAGTTTGTTTTTGCCGATGGAACTCTTGGCATCTTTGTGGTCGATTTTAAAACTGGTAAATCTTAAATTTTTAAAAAATTTTGAAAAAATTTAAAATAATTTTTTGAACTATTTAAAATTACTTTCAAATTTATAATTTTTTCATTTCCAGAGCAATTCAAGCAAGTGTGTACAGCTGGCTATGTCATTGGAAAATGGCCTATTGGATTCGCTGATGACTTTGATTTCATTGGAGAAAATACGATTGTTTTCAGTGATATGAACCCGAAATGTGGCATGAGAAATTTTGTTCATTGCTTCATGGAATACTCAAAGGATGGGCGGTAAGTGCAGGGTAGGGTAGGGTAGGTTAGGGTATGGTAGGGTAGGGTAGAGTAGGATAAAGTAAACTAGAGCACAGCACGTTAAATTACTGTACCTTACCGTACTAAAATTGCCATTATTAATCCTACAACACAATCCTAAATTTCAGAATAATCAAGCTAAACCTAAACACAGGAGAACTCGAAATCATCGTCGAAGACATCCTCACTCCAAACGGAGTAGTAGCTCATCCAGACAAACAATCCGCCATCGTAGCATCATCAGTTCAGTCTCAGCTCTACCGTGTTTACTATGCTGGAAGTAAGAAAGGGAATGTTGAAGTGTTTGCTGATGGTCTACCTGGCCTACCAGATAATCTACGCCAAACTTCTGGAGGAAAAACGTTTTGGATCGCGTTCTACCAGTCGAATGTTGGCGGAAGACCACCAATCCAAGTGTTTAGTGAATATCCAAGTGTTCGGAAGGTTTTGAATTATGTAAGTAGTACTTTACCTTACCTTACCTTACCTTACCTTACCTTGCCTTACCTTACCCTACCTTACCTTACCTTACCCTATCCTACCCTACCTTATCCTTCCCCCTAATATACAAGTACCGTACTTTTTTTTCAGTTCCACCACCTTCTACTGCCCCTTGAACAACTTCTATTTGGTAATCACGTAGTTTTTGTTGAAATGGACTTTGATGGTAATGTCGTATCTTCAGTTCATGATCCAGAAGGACGGTTGAAAGTTACTACGACTGTAATTGACGATGGGAAGTATCTTTATTTCGGAAATCTCTTCACTGACTATATTGGAAGGGCTTTGAGGCCATGAGTAATATATCCACCCAGGAACGTCGTTTGGGGGGGTGGCATCAAAATGGGTACCCCCCCCCTGCCAAAATTTTGAAAAATCGGTCCACAATTTTTTTTGGTACCTGTGGACCAAAAAAAATTTTTCGACCTCCCCCCCCACAGAAAAACCGTAGCGACGTCCCTGTATCCACCTTGGCAATTTTTAGTTTTTTCTATGGTTATTTTGTAAAAAAAGTTACTGTATATAAACCTATCTTATATAACACTGCCTTAGCTCTAGATTTAGCCATCCCCAAGCTTAAGATATTTTAAAATATTACACTAGAAACCCCAAAAACCATCCTAATTTTAAAATTTTTGTTTATTTCGCGGCCTAGTAACAACACTACTGAACTACTTTCTTCAACGAGTCCGGCATTTGAGGTGGTGGTGGGCGGGGTAAATTGAAGGCGACCTTCACCGCGTCGTAGATGAACCATTGCAATGCGGTGAGAGTACCAATCATGATGATACGAGGGAAGAGACCTCCCCACACTCCGAGTGGGCCCAACTTCTTCAGGATGCCGACGGCCGAAGCTCCGGCGTCTTGGTTCAGTTTTGAGACGATGGTGTCGGCCGGGTGAGATACGATGGCACAGAAGACACCGGCGATGTAGCCGGCGACGAAGGTGACCACCAGTTGTTCGGATTTGGAGCATTGGTCACGAGGTTTCGGCACAACGTTAGCGTAGAGGAGTTCGACGGTACGCTCGAAGCAGGCGAACTTCATCATGGTGTATGGGATTTGACGCATCCAGAGTGGGGGGAGACCCTTGTAGAAGCCGCTGAGGCCTTCGCTCTTGTAAATGAATGGTACGCAGCCGCGGAGGGTTGGTGGAGCTCCAACGGCGGTTTGGATACGGACCTTGGTGGCTTCCATTGGGGCGAGGAGGATGTCGGCGAAGAGTTCGGCCGAGGCGGAGGAGGCTAGGTAGAGGGAGGTACGCCAGGTGTAGCTGAGTTCCTGTAAAGATAAAAATTAAGAAAGTTTGCTGATATTATAATGTACAGTAATATTGAATCAAAAAGCTTAAAATAAACCTAAAAGCTTAAATTTTAAGTTAAAAATCTCATTTTTCGCAAAAAAAACCCCCCAAAATTTTTCAAATATTACCTAAAATTAAAAACTTTCAAAAAAACAACAAACTTACGGGTCCGATAGCATCAGAGTAGAGTACCTTGAAGACTTCGTAGAAACCGAATTTGCCCAAACCTTGGAGTGAGTATCCAATGGCAGTCGGGGCCCATCCCTTGGCCAAACCGCGCACTCCTTCTTCAGCAATCGTGGTTCTGAATCCGCCAACAATTCCCTTGTACTTCTCGGGGTTTACCTGAAATTTGAGAAAGTTATTGTAGTTGAAATAGCACTAGCTTTTATAAAAAAAATTTTTGATCAAAAGCTTTTGAACCGTCTCTACAGCACCCACCCTATCCTACTCTACCTTACAGTAGCCTACCATACTTTACACTACCATACTCTACCCCACCTTACCACACCCTCCCCCACCCTACCTGAATTCTGCACTTGACCATGTCCAAAGGTACGATTGCTGTGTGTGTGATACCGCATGACAAGATACCACCCAAACCGCACAGAGCGTAGTACTTCCCACTGCCAAACTCGACGGTTCCACTGGTCGATCCTGCAATTTTTTGAGTCACGGTTTCGACCACAACCTCCGTAAGAACGTGAACGGCCGGAGAACGCCATAGGAATTCGACCACTCCATCCCATACACCGACTATACAAAAGAAATAGAGGTATAGCCAGGTGAGGATGATGACAATCACTCCTTGATAGGTGTGCCATGGATCACGGTCTTTGGCTTTGCCTAGCGGCAAGATGAGTTTGGTCTCGGTTTCACTGGTCATAATAAATGAGATTAGACTGGATATTAGATGGAATACCTGACAAAAGAATGTAGTATCAGACTTTGACTTAAGAATTAGCAATCAAACTTGTTGTAGCTTTTTTTCAAGGCTTTTAAGATGAAATAGACGTCTTTAAGATAACAATAAATTATTTTATCGTAGATTTTAATAACTCTTCAAAAAGAAACGTCTACTACAATATAAAACAAGGTGCTTTTTGTATAAAAATCAAACTTATTATCAACTTTTTAGCTAAAAATTAATTAAAATTATATTTAATAACTAAAAAATCAGTTAGCTTTTCAATTTCTAACTAAAGATCAGAAAACTCTTTTAAATTTTGCCCAAAACTCAAGAAATCACCAAAAAATCCCCTAAAATCCAGCAAAGTCGACCAAAAATACAATTTTTAAAGCTACTAGAACACGAAAGACCACAAAAAGATAATATTTTAGATATTAGCTTTTAATAATTTAAAATTCAGACAATTATTTACAAATAGTCAAAGATATTACAGTCACAGGGTTTTGATTTACAATAATATAATATGTCTTCAACAAGTATCACAGATAGAACATACCAAGGCTAAAATTAGTTTAATTATTATAAAAAATAGTAAATTTAAGCAGTAATAAAGAATATTTTAACTCAGAAAAGCAAAATTTCAACTTTAAAACAATTCTTAAATACTTTTTAAAAAATTTTTTTAATTCGAAAAATTTTGAAAAATTTCAACCTTTTTTTCAAATTTTTATAAATTTTCAAACTGACAAAACGTTTACACTCCCTCAAGCACAATACACTTAAAAATCACCTATCAGAGTACAGCCCCCTCGGGCATTCACCTAACCGTGCATTGTCCTAAATACCACCCCTCACAACTACCTACAACCCTGCTTCGTACTCCCCTAACAATATCAACATTTATCATCTCCTTACAAACATATCTGCGTTTATGTCTCCTACGTATAAAACATCAGCCTTGTATCTTCTCCATTTAAAACATATCAACCCTCACACCTTCCTATAAAACAATGTAAATGCACGTTAAAATTCCACGTTTTTCGCCTGCGGAAAAACAATATATTCTCGACAAAAAACGAACAAAAAGAGAATATTTTAATGAAACGGTGTTTTTTCGGAAAAAACTAACCGAATTCCGATATTAATCTAAGCTAACAACTCTTATATATTCCTTTAATCTCAGTTAACAACTATCATATCTTCCTTTAATCTAAACTAACAGCTATTATAACGTAATAACTAAAAATTGAAGCCCTTCTAAAAAGGCAGACCAACTTTCCTCTTTTTTTCTATTCAGCAACCACCCCAACTCTAAAATTGCCCTTTTACACCCATTTCCAATGCAAAACACACAATACCAAAACCAATATAAACCTTAATATCATGTCGTTCAAATAACTCTGTGCCCCGAAGATGTGCTTTGGAGATAAAGCACAGAATTAGTTGGACAACCTAATAAGGTCAAGTAGTATTAAAATTTAAAAGATATTGTGCTTGAAGGTTAACAAGTTAGTCTGTCATACACAACAAGGGTTAACATATAAAAATTTATACTGTGTAATATAGCAAACATGATTAAAAAAGGAACAAATAAGGTTAAAAATTGCAACAACAAGTGCAGCAACATACACAAAATGATTTGTAGAAGAAGATAACTTGCAATAAAAGCCAGAAAAGACTAGGATAGACCAAAAGACGTAGTAATATAAATCAAGGCTTTCAACATAAAAATAAGGGAAAAAACAAAACGCTTTCGTATTTTACAAAATCCAAACCCTTTGACGTGCCGTACCGTTCACATTCAAACCTAAAAAATGTCATTTTATGTTCTTACCGGCACAATCGGCCTTCCTTGGCATGCCGAAAGGCATAACAGCGTTGGTACTGACCAGGTTGTCGACTACTCCCATTATGTCACCACTGAAAATGTAATCATTATTAATTTGCCACCATACTCACCGGACCTCGTATTTTACATTCAAAATAAATAAAAAATGACAGCTTAATGATGTAAACCGGTTTTATTAGTCATAATATTATAGTAGAAAAAAATGTACTACCTATTAAGTTTTTCAAATAATTCTGAGCCCCCTAACCCCAAAAAAGTTGCTTTAAAAGGTTCTCAGAATTTTTTGAACAACCTAATACATCGTGTTATAATAGAATAAAATGCTCAATTTCTCTCCACAGTAGACCAGCTTACAGTCCTGACCTCGTCTTTTACCATAAAAATATAATAAAAGTGTAATATTACCCATAACACAATTTTTATATCATGTTACATTCAAAATAAGCAACAAACAAAGCCTTTTTTATCTTTTTACAGATTCAAATTAATTTCAAACATAGAAACGTCAAAAAATTTAAAAAACGAAAGCAAATAGAACCTGATCGGCCTAACGGCCTAAACTCGCGGCCAAATGCTTGTAAAAAAAGTGAAAAAAAATCGTTTTTTGATCAGAAATTGCGTTCCAAATGACCTGATTCTTTGCTATCTTCTTGTTTCTGGATGGTTTCATATCAAAAAACGTTGATAAAGGATTGTTTCTTAAGGTTAATCATAACATCATAAATTTTTTTGACGTTTTATGGTTAAAAATGAGTAAAAACGGTACTGAAAAGCAAATTTTTTAATCACATTATAATGACCCCAATAAAAATTGCCCAATCATAGCCCAAACATCGAAAAAACCCCCAAACTGTACACCTTTTAGGCCAAATTGTAAGGAAAATCGGCCGAGAACATCCCGAAAAAACCGCTCCGAAACTTGAACAACTGTTCGAAGACGCATTCTTACGAGTCTGTGTCTCAACCGCCTCCAACCCGACCCCCATGAGCACCGAAAGAGAACGTCAGAGAGATAAGACGCTAAAAAGAACCAAGTCCGAACGTGAAATTCACAATTCACGGCCCAGACGACTTTTTAAGCCTGCGAGTGGAAATGTGCAGGAATTGAATTGAAAAGCTTGGATATCAGTTTAAAATATCCAAAAATTGTAAAAAAGTAATACTTTCTTTTAAAAATAGTAAGAAATTTAACAAACGACACCTTACACATACAACATTAGACCAATCCTCTCATTTTTAGCATAACTTCCTTCAAAAATCAGTTAAACAATAGAAAATCTCTAAAAAATAGCTTTTTACTTATTCTAATAATCCACAAAAACCCGAATTCCGAAATTACTGGCCATTTAAAAGTTACATTATGATCTTGTACATACCTACTACTCAAACCTCTTGTTTAATATAATTTCAAAACGTTGACAAATTTTTAAACTTCCTTTGTAAAACTACATAAGAAACTTCATAAACTAATATCTGTCATAACTTCAAATTTGTATCTACGTCTTTAAAAAGTTATAGCCAAAATTTAAAATGCCTAACATTTATGACACTAGTTGCCACAATTTTTCAACTAACGTCTTCGAATTAAACCAAAATCTATAAAATCCACACCAACACCATCTTACTACTCTGAGCTAACTTATGAAAAGAAAAAGTACGAACTTTCGACTTGTCTAGACCAAACCTCCACAAATACATTATCCATGTCAACTGTTTTTGCAGATAGCTCCTAAAACCCAAACAAACTAATTAAAAAACTTACGGATTGCAATAAGAAGACGTCCAACATCACAAACCACACCATTTGGACAGTTGAAACCTATATTTCCCATTGTAAAGTTGAATACAACAAAATTCTGTAAATTTTCTCCAAAAAAGGAAGAAGCTGATAAGTTCTTGACACTTCGCTTACAAATTCGATAAATACGTGGCGTTTCGTCAAACACTATCTTTTCTCTAAAATTATTTTTATGTGACGTGTTCTACGTACTTGACTGCTACTATCTAGCAAACCCTTGCTTGGATCTTTGTTATTTTTACAAATAACTACTGCCAATATATTAAACTATTTATAATATATTGATTTCTTGTCATATTCGGCTGATTTTGAGTGATTGACGTGAATAACAAGGAGAAATGTCGTATCGTCCAGGTAAAGGTACATAAACTTATATTTTTGATCCTTTATTCAAATTTTTTATTATTTTTTAGCAGCAAATGGTGGGTATGACAACCATGGCGCGTTTTTGGAGCAACAGAACGATCAAATGACAAACGATCTTCACGCGAAGGTAGCTCAACTGAAACGAGTAACGATAGCCATTGGTGACGATGTTAGAGACCAGAATCGGCTTCTGAATAGTATGGTAAGTTTATTTTCTTTTTGTTTTTGAAAATTCAGGGTTAGAAATGTTAAAAATGCAAGAGAACAAGACGTTTTTTTCTTTATGGGTTAGATCCAGGGACGTCGCTACGGATTTTCTCTGGGGGAGGGGGTACCCCCCCCCCTTCCTCCCCCCCTCCCCCAAACGACGTCCCTGGTTAGATCTGTCATGGATAATATCGAAAATTAGCTCATATATTTGTAGCGTTTGATGTTTAAACTTAGCAAATGCTTTTCATACTTAATATACATATTTGGCATACTTTTGAGTACAGTTTCATTTAAGAAAAACGCTATTTTATCTATAATTTTTAAGGAAGGCGACTTTGACCTATCGAACACATTGTTGGGCCAAACCATGAAGAAGCTGGGCATCGTATCACGTGCTGGTGGAAACAAAGTTTTATGTTATTTAGTATTGTTTGCGTTCTTTGTATTTTTGGTCATCTATTACGTGGCCAGGGGTTGAAAGTATTCATGGTTGAAGGTTTTACATATCAGATAATTTATTTAGATGTACATAGACAAACCGGAGTAACTCTGGGCATTTTAGTCATGCGATAGTAAAAATAAATTTTGATTTAAAAAACTTTTTGTTATAGAAGGTTTTTAAAAAAAGGATTGAGTTTTTGGGGCTTTCATGGATAATATAACATAATATTAAAAAATAAGCTGTAATTAGTTCTTTTTTGTACGAACTAATGAATTGAAAAGTTGAAGTTTGATCTAATAATTGAAAAGTTGAAGTTTGATCTAAGAATGTAGTTTTAAAAGTTTTCAAATTCTTTGGCGCACTGTTCGGCCATAAAATATCCCGCGCGGAGCCGTCTTCGCACTCCGTCTCTGATCTTTTCGTCATTAGTACGCTCTGACAACAAGGGTAGTACAAGTATGGAAAAGTGGAATTCATAGGGAAATTCATATCTGAACATTTGTTTGCACTGAAATTTAATTTTTAGTGTTTTCAATTGATTTTTATATTGTAGTAGACAATTATGTTGCTGGTGTGCTTGTATAGATCATAACTTTTTTGAAAGGGAATCTAGGGGTTTAAAATTATGAGCAATTGTAGATTATATATTTCTTTATCTATTTTAAGAAAGAAAATTTTGAAATTTACGAAGTTGTTAAGTTTACAGTAGTTCTATTGTACCTCATATGTTTACTATTTTTGATGAAAATATTTTATTTTTTAAAGGAAAATTGTTTAAAATACTGCACGACTTACTTTTTTCAAACTATACGGAGCTTGTCTTCCTTTCTCTTTCATGCTGCTGACCAAAGTGTCATAGTACAGCTCCAGTAAATGGTCTAAATGCTCTTCCAGTACCTCATAAGAAGCAGTAGTGCACAAAAACCGCGACAAATCGCATAAACCCGTGCCAATTTTCGTAACCTGCCAATCAAACAACGTGAAAAGCTTGTCACCACAAGATCCATCAGGTCTTCGTTCGAAGAACATGTTATTACCCCAACAGTCACCATGTGCCATGATTGGAGTGACATTAAACTTGTAATGGGCATTATAACATGGAGTATCGTATTTTACTGCCATTTTTTGTAGAACATCTTTGTGTTGATTGAAAAAGGGTTCAAGTTCATATAGAGATGGTGGGATCTCATAGCTGTGAGGCTGGTCTTTAATTTTGACTATGGATAATATAAGTTCTGTGTTGAGGAAGCAAGCAGTGAAGGCGTGGAACTTGGCTAGTGTTTTTATTACTTCTTCACACTGAAAAATGGCAAAAGCTTTCTTTACAAAACACAAAATGACAAGAACTTTCTTTACAAGACGAAAAATCGCAAGAACTTTCTTTACAAAACTCAAAATGGCGATAACTTTCTTTATAAGACTCAAATTGGCAATCACTCTCACCTGTTTTAAGCTGCATCCTTTCAAGGTATTAGGTAACACTCCTAAGTGCCCCACATCTTCAACGATGATTCTACCGTGAATTCGCTTCTCTTTACAACTTTCAATATAAGCGTACATCTTTGGGAAGTATAAAGCATCACAATATTTGGCAAAATGAAGGTAAAACTTGATCTCTTGGTTATGGTAGAACAACAGTGAGTCTTCGAATTCTGTTAGGGCCTGAAATAGGGGGGGGGACTATACTTTAAAACTATACTACTTTATTTTATCCTATTTGGCGTTATTTCACATAATTTATCCTATTTTACTTTATCTTACCGTTTCTTACCCTACCGTACCCTACTCTACCGTACCCTAGCTTATCCTACTGTATCCTCTCCATACTTACCTCTTCTTCTTTAAAGTTCCTAGCATGTTCAATAGTCGGGACCTTCAAAATGACACTGAACACCCTCGAGTCATCTCCGAAGAAAACTTTAACTCTAGATACATTAGACAAGAAGCCAGCACCACTAATTTCCTCATTCTTGGCTGATGTAACCCCATATTCTTTCCACCACTGATCCCATTGCTTATCTTTTCCATGTAAATTTTCAAAGATCCAGCTATAGGTAACATCGGTGGGGTGGATTAGTTGATTTGCGTCAAACATACTATTAATATCTGGAAAAAGAGGTGGTCCTGTTTTTTAGAGTTGTCGAAACGGCCTCCTTTTCTTAAAATAACATGGAAGTAAAAAAACATATTAAGTAGGTGAATGGTAATTCTATCAGAACTATTAGACAGTCTAATTGTACTTGTTTGAAGGTTAAAAGGGTGAAAGGTTTGAAGATGGTAGCTAATGACAAGTCTGACAACAAGGAAAGGTCAGAAGAATGAATTCAGGGAAAGACACTTTCTTACTCCCCCCCCCCTACTAAAAAACTTTCTAAAAATGCTCAATCTGCCTTGCTTTCAGGACTACCCTTTCGAACGCTTCTAGTCTTCCCCTCGCCCTATATACTCTTAAGGTATAAATATTGTCTTGTTTAATTAAAGTTAATCAAAAGCCTATATCTTAACGTAGCAACTTAAATATAATAAGTATAAAGGTCTTCATATTTTTACATTTTTCTGTAAAGTGATTAAAAGAGGAATACCCTTTTGTTTTATTACTATGTTCATCAGTGTGGTTATGGTTTGTGTTTCATAATTGTAACACGTTTTAATTAGATTAAACTCTGATTTTTTGGTTTACAGTGTAAATTTTACAGTTACAAGCAAAGGTAAAGTCAAAAACCACGTTTTTTATTTGTCTAGAAATGAGTAATTAGCTGTTGGTAACGTTATAAATGCACTGTGCACTGTTGTCCGGGAATTTAAAAGTTTTTTTGTTATAGAGGTTCGATATAAAGAAGTTACACAGTAACTAATTTATTTAAAAATATTTGCTTTGTATAATTGAGGCATGACTAGATTTATTTTTATAAATTTGATAAATAAAACGTTTTGTTTTCCGAAATCATTGAAAAAAATAGAATTCTGTAAATATAATAGGTTCAAAGTACTACAATAAGTTTCATCAATACGTACCTATTAATCCGATTTGAAACCTTTTACTTTTTATTTGTAAAAGATCTCGTCACAAAACATTGAGCTACATGAACCTTTTAATAGGTATGCAATGGAACTCCCATATCTCCGGATGATTAAAAGATTTCAAATTTGTGCCTTATGCAGTGATTTCAAACACACTGTGTAGTGTTTTATAGCTAGGGACTTAAAAGTTTTTTGTTAAACGGGGTTGTTGTTATAGAAGATTTTGTTATACAGAAGTTCGAGTTACACGTGTAAAGTACTAGTTATAAAATTTTGTTGCGGGACTTAAATTGGCCTCTGGGCCTTTGGTCTAGGCCGCGACTTCGAGGCAACATGTGACGACTCTTTCATAAATCTAAGGGTAGGATGAGATACTAGAAACTAATTTAAGGTGTCGTTTCATGCCTATTTCTTAATTTTACATAGATCATGCAGGCCGATCACATAGAACTTTGTTTAGCCTAGACCCAGACTCCCTTTCAGGTCTAGTTCCACTGTACTTAAAAAACCTCCAAAAACGAATAAAAGCTGAAAAAAAAATAAAAATTTCAAAAATAAAAAAGTCAAATTGTAATGAGTTTATTTTCCAACGAATAGAAGTTTGAGCAATCGTTACAAATGAAGACTGTGAGTACAATACTGTGAAGTAAATGAAAGTCCTATTTAATGACTGGTTTTCTGTGCAAAATTTCACCGAGAATCTGTAGTTTTCATAAATGTTTTAAGGGTTTGGCTAGGATTTAAAAATCTCAAAAATTGGCTTAAAATTACAAAAAAGTTACAGTAAGACAAATATTTTACCAAATATTACAGTAACACAAATATTTGACTGAAAAGTTACGGTAAGACAAATATTTTGCTAAAAAATACAGTAAGACAAATATTTCACCAAAATGTTACAGTATGGCAAATATTATGCTAAAAAGTTACAGTTAGACATATAATACTGAAAAAGTCACACTATTGTAAAAAATACTGTAAAAACAAAAAATACTGTATAAAATTTGAGTCACTGTATAAAAATACTGTAGATTACGCGCTCTTTGGCTTTTGCTTGATTGAGCATTGATTATAAAGTTAAAGTGTTAAGAATTTCTGTTTAGACAGTATGATTAAAAGCTTTAGACGTTTGAAAAGATCTTTACCACAATAAAAACGTAAAATAATGTACAAGATGAAGAAAGATCACGAGTAAATGGTAACAACTTCGGTGCCCGTACCGCGAACCAGTAGTACTCGGTTCAGGCCATCTGTTAGGGTGTCTAGGAACTCCATATCTACAAAAAGGGTAAATTGTAATACAAAACAACTTTTACATAACAGAGTGAGGCTAGTCCAAGCTTAATTTAATAAAAGTTTAAAATTTAAATCTTTTTCAAAAAATTCAAAATTTTAAAAAACTTACAATAATTGTCCCGATCCTTTTCCGGTGGCCCAGGTAGATTGACCACGATTAGCTGAGCATCCTTACTCCTGTCTTTCATCAGATCGTTCAACTTTACAGCTGTGTGCATCTTTCTCACGTTGTAAGTCCCTGGAGTTGGTGGAGTGGTCGGAATCTTGTCTTGTTTCTCGATCTAAAACAAAAAACTTTACGTAAAAGTTTTTCAATGAAGAAAATATATGTAAAATACGAAATAGTAAGGGTAATTCATTACAATAATTTTGTTTCGGTAAATGTTTTAAGCAATACACTTCAGTGTTATTTTGGTCCCGCAACGCAAATTAGGAAATCTTTGGCATTAGTTAAAAATAGCCAAAAAATATAAAAAAAGAAGATTTTGGGAGATGTTTTTGCTATTTTGACCTTTGTAAAGGATGTTCTTGTCATTTCTTGTTTTGTAAAGAAAGTTCTTGCCATTTTTTTCTCTATAAAACAACTTCTTGCCATTTTCACTTACCTCAATAGAATTTTCGCTGAATCTAACTTTGTTGTGAATGCCCGCAGGGAGTTCTTGGGTCTCATCAATGTCAACACATCCAGGTGGTGATTGTACTGATCTGATTGGACTTTCCAGTTTATTCGAGGTGTTACTCTGCTTTCTTTCGATCCTACTGAATCTTCTTTCTAGAACGACTTCATCCATCGTGGCTGGACTGTCTCGACGTTCTCTGGCCTTCATTTCGCGAAGGAATTTAACTCTTTCTTCCATCTTCAAAGTCTTCTCGTATGTGTACTCGGAGATGTCGGATTCGGGCTGTAAATTAAAATTTTTTAAATGTAAAAGAAAATTTTTAAAATAAAAAACATTAAGCTTAGGCTAGAAAAACTCTTACCATGTCAATAACAAACACCTGTCCTTCAATCCTCAAATGATACAAGAACTTCTCCAAGTCCTCCTTCATCTGCGTGCTATTCTCATCAATGTGAGCGATAGTAAACAATCTCAATGTAGTGTTCTTCCAAGTACGATGTTTCCTCAACAAGAACGGTAGCAACATCAGAAGACCACCATCGTGCACGATCCACCACACATCAACGGTACCACCCAACTTTTCGTTTGATTTGGGGAAGTTCTTGATGCCCTTTGGCACCAAAATGGCACACTTTGAAGCCGCGATAGTTCTGATAGCACTAACAAAACGATGAGCTTCTTCCCATGATTTGGTTTCTGACCAAACGTCAGGCCAACATATACACACACTGTTGTGACGAAGCCCACCCAGTCCTGACGTCTGGACTAGACAATTGATGCCAGCATTGTAGTTATCGTTAACCAGCACTTCCGAGAAGCCTTTGATCTTGTAGGTACTGAGCTTGTCCATCAATCGCTCTCTTTCTATGGTAATCTCATCAGTCTTCTTGACATAGTCACCTTCGATGCATTCAGCGACCATTGTCAGGCCTTTGCCAGCCTTTAATTGACTCACAAAGCCCAACAACTTTTCCCCAACTTCATTATCTCCTTTGCCACTGAAGAAGCTCTTGTTGGGATACAATACCAACAACTGTGGCCGCCAGTTTCTACTATGTTGTTCATGACGTTGATCCACAGACAGTAAGGCATAACGAGCGGCCGAGAGCTTTAGACCTTTGAGACCATCGCCCCATTCTTTCTCTGCTCCTTGGTATTCAATGTACTTGTAGACAGCAATTCCCATCAATATGGCCAAGATGGCGAATTGCCAAGAACTGATAAACATAATGGCTAGGCAGAGAAGAGCGCCGGAGAACGATAGGGCCCAGTGATAGTACTTGAAGGTGGGACGCCAACCTGGAGCTTTCATCAAGGATTGGATGGCGCATGAGAGGTTTACGCCAAAGTAACACATCAGGAGGAATCTAAAAAAAATTTTCTTTTTAATTAAGATTTTTTTACCCTAACCAACTCTAACCTTTACTATACAAGTACCATACTCATAATAAAAACCTACTCAGTAATCAAAGCAGTTAAACTCTCCAAAACCGCAATCAAAATACCGACTTCACAGACGATCAGCGTCACAACGATGGCAATCAGAGGCTCTCCTCTCTTATCAGTAGTTTTGAAATGCCGTAACGATGGAATAACTTCATCACTAGCAATAGCTTGTAGAATCCTTGGTGCTCCAGTTAATGACTGCATTCCAGCTCCAACAGTTGAGGCCAAACAGCCAATTAGGATGACAATTGGTACTGGGACCGCTAGTTCGGCGACAATCATCTTACCCATAGCTGATTCGCCAAACTTGTCTCGGATGAACATCTCTGACACCGTCATGCCGAAGAAGGCGGTGCCAAAAATGTCTGAAAATTGGTTGTTATGTAATTGGTCGTTTATTAATGTCGTGATATTGAAGAACTATGTTTATAACAATGAAAATTAGCACTAAACCTTAAATTTCTGATCTATGTAATATCAGTGTTTTGTGTTTCCTAATTATCGTGCTTTGTCAATGTAAAACCACCAAAACTCATCAAAACAACTACAAAACAGTTAGTCATTTCACCTTCTCTAATTATGCAAATAGGTATAAACTTTAGTATTGTTCTAGACAAATAACAAAGCTCTAATAGTTATTATATAATACAAACAACAAGACTCAGTAGTTTAAGTAAAAATAACAAGACCTTAAGAGTATATATACATGACTTATATATACCCATAACAAGATTAACCTACGCCAAATCGCATACGTTGTTATATTATAAAAGCTTAAAGTTCATCTAATTAACATGAACTTTCTAACTTTATGTTTCTTTATATTATCTATAATCACAACTATAATATATGGAAAAGGTCTTCGATGTTTCCAAGACACCGACTGTAATATTCAGTGCTCTGAAGGAAGAACCCCTCGATGTTCAACTTTATTACAATGTAATTGCGTGCCTTATTTGGAAAATAAAACGTTTTGATACTTAACGGCGTTTAAGAATTTTAAAATTATTTTTTGTTAATTCATAAAAATCATAGACAAATTCAAATGTTATGTCAGCCAGGTAAGTTACTACGCATAAAAATGTAGTCATATTGCTAAACTAAATTAGTGCAACTTTTTTATAAAAAAAACGCTCGATCGTCCAAATTCTCCCGCAACGATCGCCTTGTGAATGAACGATCTTGGCGTTTCGTTTCAAAAGCAATTGGGAAAATGGGACTTTTGAGCTGTGAATAAACTGAATTGCTTCCTAAACTACTTGGATTGGGAAATCAAACATTGTAATATGATGTTCGTGCACGTTTACGTTGAAAAATGGTTATGCGTTGGAAGAAGAATAATTTTTACTGGATTTTGAAGGTAATAAAAGGTAAGTTTTTTTCTAACTTTTTAAGATTCTTTTAAGCCTTCGTTTCTTATAGGTACCAACTCATCCGTTGTCTGTATAAATAATCTTATAGAGGGTTTATCAACATAAACAAGAAAAGCTCATTATTTCAGCTCAATGGGCTAACGAAGATCTTGTTTGGTATAAGGAAATGGATCACTAATGTCAGCGAAAACATCAATATCAATCTCATAAAGAATCTTAACTTAACTACTAAGATGAGACAATTTACGTTTACAGTTCAATAAACCAAACTTACAAGCTAAAGAAGTTGTTAATTGAGCTCCAATAGTACCCCATGGAATAGAAATGGCTGCATCTCTTAAATTCCCCGATCGATTCGAGCCAGCCATGATACCAGTTACAGAAGGGAAGTAAACTCCCACTAGTACCATAAAGGATGTCGTCGTATCTTCGAAGATCCAAAACGATCCTTTCTTGGCTTCTGGTTCAGTTTCATGATTTCCTTTTGTTAATACAGTACCCTTTTCTCTGTATTTTGGCCACAAATTGTCTTTCCAGGCACTTGATGAGAATCCGGTGATAGCACGTCGAGACCCGATACTTAATGGGTTTGTTTTGAGTACGTGTTGAAAGTAGGGGTCGCAACTTGAGCTGTTTTGGCAAAACGCAGGCTTTAGGCCTTCGATTGAGCAGTCTGGACTGTATTGGAATTTTTCGGAAAAGGAGACTAGATTTACTGGTCGGTCGCCTACCATACAGTACCTGGAATTTGGAGTTTACATAGTCACCATGAGAAAAGCCTGATTTAAAATTTAAAAAAAACTTACTGTAAGGTATCTGTACCATTAAATTTCCAGAATTCTCCGATGAAAGTACATGCTATACAAGATAGTACCATTACTAATGCAGGCAGTGCAAATTTATTTACAACCTGTAATGAAAAATGTCATAACATTAAAAATTGGCTTACAATAACCTACTTACCCTACCTTAGTGTACCAGTATCGTAATTGTATTAAAAAAAGTTACTCACCCCATCCCACTCTACCCGTCTGTCCAAACCTACCTTAACCCCAGCGATGACGACCAGTCCAATACACAAGAGTAGGATCGACCCGAAGACCCGGAAGTTGTTGAACATACTATCGAACAACTTTAATTGTGGACATAAGTAGACTAGTAAAATCTCTACACCTCCTGTTATATACATAGCACCGGCGACGGTGTTCCCCATGTAGAATAGGATTCCAATGGCTCCACCGAGTTCGGGTCCTAGGTTTCTGGATATCATGTAGTAGGGCCCTCCGCCGGGTACCACCCCATTTGTGGCGATTGCTGATAGTGATATCGATGTTAGGAAGGTCTAAAATTTTTTTTTTAATTTTAAAAATTTTGAAAAAATTTTTATTTCAAAAAATTTTAAAAAATTTTTTGTATTTTTTAAAATTTCAAAATACTGTAAAGAAAAATATCGTATTTTACACCCCACCATAACCTTTAGAATGCAAAAAATTTTAACATACCACAGAACAGCAGAGTAATACCACCCCCAACGACTCCACAATCCCAGCTGCGCCCACAATCCATGCGAGTCGGATAAAGAATAAAACTCCAAAGATATTTTGCATGCACGGAAAGTACACGCCCATTAGGGTACCCATTTTGACCGGTTGTTTTGGCGCCGCTTGTGAGTTGGCTTCGACATCTTCTTGAGGCGCCGACTGGTATAAGGAAAGGGATCGAAGCATTTGACCAATCTTTTGGCCTTGCGTGTTGTATTCATCCTGAAATGTTAAAATTTTGAATTTTTCGAAATGATTTTAAAAAAGTTAAAGTGATATGTATTGTAATGCAATAGATTAGTTGGAGTAGGTAGGGTAGGATAGGATAAAGTTGGATGGAGTAGGGCGACATAGAATGTAGTAAAATGGAGTAAGATAAGATAGAATGGAGTAAGATAGAATAGAATGTCGTAGTATGGAGTAGGGAAAAGTAGGGTAGGGTAGGGTAGGGTAGGGTAAGGTAGGGTAGGGTAGGGTAGGGTAGGGTAGGGTAGGGTAGGGTAGGGTAGGGTAGGGTAGGGTAGGGTAGAGTAGGGTAGGGTAGGGTAGGGTAGGGTAGGGTAGAATTAGGTACTGTATAATAAAGTAAACTGGAGTAGGTCTTACCTCGTACAACGCCAAGCCGGCATGATTTGTTTCACATAAGGGTATCCGTTCTGCTCCATTGTTACTGTCTGAAAAGATACGATATAGTAAAAAACAAAAAAAAATTTAATTAAAAAAATATTTTTTCAATTTTTGTAAAACTCTAGCCTTGAAGAACGAAAACATCGTATTTTAAATTTACTCATACCAAGCTAATTAAATTATTGAAAATTCAAAAAAGTCTTGACGCTGTTGAAAGTGGGAAGGAATGGAAATTAACGCCAAGACTTTTTAAATTCTTAATTTTTTAAAAAACTTTGCTAAAACTTTTTTAAAAAATTCAGTTTCTAACAAATTCTCAACTATTTTCTTTAAAAAATGCCATTTCCAACCTTACCAATCTTACTGAATCTTCGCGGAATCATCGAAGACCCTACTGAAAGTAAACGCGGCCAGCTTCGGCCCCGTCTACCCACTTAAGTCAAACAAAGGTACAAAACAAGTACTAATCCAGGGCCATTACTAAAACTGATATTTTAATTATTTACGAGTAATTACCCTCAGATCTCAAATGTCGCGACAAATAAGGCAGTTTATATCAGTTTTTGTGCGTGCCAAAACTGCCTTCCAAACGTGCCGTGCACGGCACAGACAAAGAACAGTAAGGTGGTTTTAGATGTATTTTGATATGATAAAACCAGAGTCATATTACGGAAAAGTTTTGTAACAGAACTTTTGGAGCACCCTGTATAGAGGTGTATTAGTTAGATAGGGGGTGGTAGAAAAAGAAATGTAGTAGGGGTGTTTTGGTTGGGAGTAGTGGTAAAAACGGTTCTCCAGGCCGGCCAGGCTAACCTGACTTCCAGACCAAGCTCAAGAAAAATTTAGGCGAATCCGGGCAAAGACGAAAAAAAATTATACCGGGCCAAGCCAAGCCGAAACATAAGCAAGGTACGCTTTGAAAGCCACGTATACGACCAGGCCCCTTTACAGGTTTAAGTAGAAGGAAGTGATAAAAAATATTGTTATTGTATTAAGTTGAAAAAAAAACCATTAAACAGAAGATTAGAATTGATACGACAATATGATAATTATAATGTCACAAACCATAACAATGATTGAAGATTAACGTTTATATTATATAAATATATATTATATAATTAATTCTTTGTTTATTAACACTGAATACATGTACATAGAAAAAGGAAACAAAAGAAATTAATCAAATTCACCAGCAATTTCCTTTTTAGCATGTTCAATTTGCTCTCAAAGTTACTTTGGATACGTACTATTAACAGAAAGCTCAACGAAAGATACTCTATCTTTGCTTCCACCTGTCCTATCTTACCTTACAAGCGTTTCAATTTGTCTTTTTTCACCCTACCATTGCCTCAATCTGTCATACTCTACCTTAAATTTTTTTTTAATTGTCCTGTCTTACCCTACTCTTGCCTCAACCTACTCTACCTTACCCTTCCGTTGCCTCAACTTGTCTTACCTTACCCTCCTCTTGTCTCAAACGTTCCTACCTTGCCTTACCTTTGACTTAATCTGTTTTACCTTGTTCATCCGTTGCCCCAAACTATTTTATTTTAGTCTACCCCTGTCTCAACTTATCATATTTTACACTGCCTTTGTTTCAACCTGTTCTACCTTTCCCTATCCTTAACTTAACCTTCTTTACTCTACATTTGCCTCTACTTATCATATTGTATCCCACCTTTGCCTTAACGTGTCTTATCTTGCCCTACTCTTGCCTCAACCTGTCCTACTTAACTCTACCCTTGCATTATCTTATCTTACTTTATCCAACCTTTGCCCTACCTTGCCCTGCCCTACCTTGCCCTTCTTTGCCCTACTTTGCCTTGCTTCCTGGTATACCTTACTTTAAAAAAGAAAATTTTGAAGAATCAGATCTTTCTCAAATCCAATCACACCCCCATTCAAGCATAACTCAAACCCCCTTATTCCTTATTCAAACCCCTCATAACGTCCTTTCCCTAAAGCATCTGACCCAAAGTTAAAAATAAGCCGAAAAAGATTCAAAAATGTTTTTGTAAGCTTTCCACTTGACTTATGAAAAAAAAACAAACTCGACGCTTCGAGGACCAGAATCTCACGGCCGAGAACTTGGTCATAAAACATTTAATCTTCGTTTTTGTTTCGAAAAGTGTAGTTAAGCATCCGTACCGACTTCACCGTGCCCCAACGTTCCATTGTTCCGCCGTTTTTGCGAAACATTCAGAAACGTTTATATGTTTTTGTGCCGGAATTTTATGAGCGAAAAAGTTGTAAAAAGGATGACATCAAAAATTAAAACTTTTTTAAAAAATCTTTTGAAATTTCAAAAAATTTTTTTTAATTAAAAATTTTTTTATTAGAAAAAAATAAAAACAATGCATTTTAAATTACCTTTAGACATCTCTCGACCGTTACAGATCAATAAAATTGCCATTTTTGCAAATTTTCATACTTTCGTCGCGGGACCAAAACAAGGTTAAGGCGTTTTCTTATAAAGCAAATAAATATTTTAAAATACAAAAATAATGTCATTTTAAGAATACAAAAATGCTATAAAAAGCAAAAAACTTCTATTTTCGCACTTTGAAAGTTTTCGCTGTAGGACCCGAAAATTATACATATGAAAACCATTTTTTTCAAAAAAATTAAAAAAATTTCCAGCACCATATAGTTTTGAAATGGCTTTTGAAATCTTTTCTACAAAAATTTTAAAAAAAATGTTTTCTGTTTAGTACTAGATTAAAAAATCACCCTCCCCCCCCCCCCTGCCCTTAATCCCGTCATGTAAACATAATCTCCCTGTTTTGTGTACCCAACGAAAAATCGATAAGTAAGCGGCAAAAACTCTCCTGACCCCTAAGGCGTACTAATTCTGACTCAAAAAAAACGAAGCCAAAAACAGACATGAAGAGCTTATGAGGACCTTGAGAAAGTTCAAAGAGGCTCCGGGCACAAAATAAGTCAGAAACATGACAAGAGACGTCACGAACATGTATTCCTCGTGCCGAATACTTGATTAGAAATGGTTTTAATTAGAAATTATGAGGAAGGCATGCCCGTAGATAATTTGAAAAAAGCGGTATTACCCTACTCTAGCCTTAACCGGCCTTAACTTTAGTCCTAGTCCTAGCCAAAGGCAAAGTCATAACCCTAGCCCTAGCCCTAAGCCAGAGCCCTAGCCCAGAGCCCTAGCCCAGAGCCCTAGCCCAGAGCCCTAGCCCAGAGCCCTAGCCCAGAGCCCTAGCCCAGAGCCCTAGCCCAGAGCCCTAGCCCAGAGCCCTAGCCCAGAGCCCTAGCCCAGAGCCCTAGCCCAGAGCCCTAGCCCAGAGCCCTAGACCAAAAAACCCCTAGCCCAAAGCCAAAAAAACCCCTAGCCCAAAGCCCAGAGCCTAAGCCGCAAACCTTGCTATAGCCAAGCCATAACCTTGTTCTACTCTAGCCATGGTTGCAGCAAAAACCATAATCTAGTCCTACCATGCCTAGTCCTAACCCTAGCTCTTACCCTACCCTTCGCTGTCCTACCCTAGCCTACCATACTATAAAAAATACAGTATGAACCGTATCTGAATATTAGGCCCGGCACAATCTAAGTGTTGCTCAGGCCTGGCCCGTTCCTCATTTTTATAGTAGAAATTCTGAAAATACAGTATGAATCAGAAAAGTTTACTACAGTACTATCAACTTTTATCTTTTTTTAAATTCCAAAAAATACAGTACGGCCCGAAACGAGTTTTTTCCTTAACTACCCAATTTCAAATTCCCAAGTTGTATTCAAACTGGATTTGTTTACACGAAAAAAGTACGCAGCTTACGGTAATTTGAAATTTATGTTTTTTAAGGAAGCCTCATTTCATTCCGTTCGCCCAAATTATTTTTTCCTCTCAAGAAAACGTTTAAATTTCGAAGAAAATATATAAACTTAGGGCGTATAACATCATAGTAAAACAAAAATGTTTTGAGAAGCATTTTAATCAAATTTGAAAAAATCAGGTTTTCGCTGTGATACCAAAAAAATTCTACTTTTTTTGTTTTTAAAAGGAAAGTAAACAAATAGTCTATATAAAAGTACTTAAAATAAGATACTATGCCCTCAGAAAACGATACTTAGCGCTTTGAAAACCAAAGAATACTATTAGTATAATAATATCAAAAAATGCCTTCTAAAGGCCGAAAAACGGCCTAAGGTTCAAGCTCAGGCTCATGCTCATGCTTAAGCTCAGCTCAGGCTAATGCTAATGCTTGGGCAAGGATAGATATATCCAATATTGTACCCACATTACCACTCCAGCTCATGTCCATATTATAATTACAGTAAACATCCGGAAGAGCAGAGTAACACCAAAAAACAAACATCCCTCCCCAGACTCATAAACATCATTAGGTTATCAAAGCCAACCCATAATACTGGGATGGTAACTCAGGATGACACATTGTAATAAACATGTCATCAGAATATATTCTGAGCTATATTTAGATGTTGTTGATGTTATTTTGGGTACGAAAGAATGTATTACGAAATGAGTTAGAAATTTTTAAAATGAAAAAGTCAGGCAAAAGTTGATGGACTGATTTTCTGGCCCGGCCCGGGTCGTTCAATTTTTTTCAGCCAGGCCCGGCCCAAACTCAAAAAACTTCAACACTTCAATAACCATGCCCAAACACATCTCACCTTACTCAAAAAAGCTTTAAAACTTAGTACGAATAGAAAGGGCGTGTATAACATAAGAACACTTTTCCTGTCCCATTTAATTGTAGGTCCCTTTCGAAGCGCGGGCCGGAAGAAACAAAAAACTAGAAGGCTGTTAAAAGGAAACTAGCCCTTTAAACTGTTTTTTTAAGGTTATGACAGGCTGAGCGTTTACATTTGGGTGTATTGAACACCTAGTCATAGCCTAGTATCAAAAGCATTTTAGGGCACATGGTACAGCTGAGGCTAAAACTAGAACCAAAATTAAGACTCAGGCTAAGACTGGCTAAGGGTGTAGCTGAAGATGGGCTTGAGGATGAGGCTCAAGCTCAAACTCAAGCTCAAAGTCAGGCCCAAGCTCAAACTCAGGCTCAAGCTTAAGCTTAGGATCAGGCTCAACCTCAACCTCAGGCTTAACTCAAACTTAAGCTCAAGTTTAAGTTCAAACTCAAGCTCAAGCTCAGGCTTAGGCTCACGCTCAGGCTCAAGCTCGGGCCCAAACTTACGCTCAAACTCAGTCTCAAGCTCAGGCTTAACGTATAAGCTTAGTCTCAGGCCGAAGCCAAGGCTAAGGCTCAAGCTCAAGCTGTAGCTCACACTAAGGCTCAAAAAAGCTTAGTCTATGACTTGGGCTAGAACAGATATAACTCATATTTACTAATAATCCCCGATTAGTACTATCTTGTCGACTTATTATACCTCCAGACTAAAATTTTA